TTATTCTTTTCATTCCACAGAAGATGAGAACCTGTGGAATCCTTCCAGACTATGTGGTTTGATGGACCAAGATCCCCCAAAGGTCACCATAAACACTCCCAAAACTTATTTCACTCAACTAAAAGCAGGAAGTAATTTGGAGAGAACTATGCCCAAATTCCCTAAATGATTGTTTATAAATGTCTATTTACATTTAAAGGGGGATAGGTTATAAAGATTTGCATTGGTATGGATCTTGGTTTATTGATACAAAATTAAGATCAATCTTGTTATATGTATTTTCTGCTCTTAAGGTACTGTATTTGTACAGCTCACTTAAAAATGTAATGTATAATAAAGAAATATAAGTTAATAGACAATCATCTATAATAGTCAAACTTGTAGTCATGTTAGGTTTTCTCTTTTTCTATTTTATTTATTATGTACACAGTATTCTGCCTCCATGTATGCCTGCAGGCCAGAAGAGGGCACCAGGTCTCATTGTAGATGGTTGTGAGCCACCATGTGATTGCTGGGAATTGAACTCAGGACCTCTGGAAGAGCAGTCACTGCTCTTAATCTCTGAGCCATCTCTCCAGCCCATCAATCAGTTAGATTTTCTAGATGTATAGAGATATATTTCAGATGAATAGCTATTCTTCAAACCTTTCAAAGACTACAGAATATGGCATTTAAGATGTTTGAGAACTGAGGATTTTCATGACGCGACACATCTGCTCCTGGCAGTATCAATTACTTCAAGAGGAATTGGGCATTGAACAGGCTCCTTATGTAGTTTGCTAACCATTTGGGCAAGAAACTGGTCTTGCCCAAACTACTTGATGGTATGCTGTATAAACTGGACATTCAGGACCCACAGAAAAATGACTGCTGAACTTACCTAAAGGTGATACTGTCCTTCAGGGTTCCTGCTTCATGAAAGAGTTTGCCAGACATTCTGCAGGACACAGAAGAAAGTGACTGACAAATTGCCATTATAGGCAGAACTGTCTTTGAAATTTCCTTCTTCATGGAAAAGTCTGCTGGATACTATGGGCCTGTAGGCTGAAGATGAGTGCCTCAATGTTACAGAACTTTGGGTGAGTATCCAAGCAGCAAGATGTCTCTGTCAATTCTAGAGTTTTGGAAGTTGCTTATAATGTACTTCCTGTTTACTTAGGTAATATTATATCCTTCTGGAGTCTTTGATGGAGTTGAAGAATAGCTATAATTATAGTTTTCCTTATTTATGATAAAAGATAAAGTAATGACTTAAATAATATAGTTTCTGAGTGATTATTTCAAGTCTGAGTGGCCAGGAAGAAACAAGCGGCCTCCTTCTACAATGGGGCGGAGGGGGGGTGGGGTGGGAAGTTTGACCACTAGGAATTTGACCATGTTGTAGTGAATATATGGACAACACAAAATGGACTTGTTTTTTCTTTTGGGGAGAGGGGGATGGTCACGTGACGTGCTGGGGGCAGACATGGGAAGACTGGGAGGTGAGTACAATCAGGACACATGATGTGAGATTCCCAAATAATCAATAAAAGTATAACTTTAAAAAAAGATGGCTAGGCAGTGGTGCACATCTTTAATTTCAGCACTCAGGAGGCAGAGGCAGGCAGATCTCTGAGTTCAAGGCCAGCGTGGTCTATAGAATGAGTTCCAGGACAGCCAGGGCTACACAGAGAAACCCTGTCTCAGAAAAAAAAAATGGTGAGCTTTTAACCGTCCTTGTCCCTGCACTTTTGCTGTTGTTACTGACTCTAACACTCTGAAACCATTAAGTTCAATCAAACACTTTCGTTTATAAGTTGCCTTGGTCATGGTGTGTTATCACAGCAAAGCACTATTACACCAAAGCAGGGACTCAAGCAGAGTGAGAACCTGGAGGTGGAGCTGATGCAGAGGCCACGAAGGAGGCTGCTGCTTACTGGCTTGCTCAACATGGATTGCTCAGCCTGCTTGCTTGTACACCAGGAACACCAATCCACAGATGGCACTACTCATAGTGAGCTGGACCCTCCTATATCAATCAAAAAAATTTGCATCAAGCTGGGCAGTGGTGGCGCACGCCTTTAATCCCAGCATTCGGGAGGCAGAGGCAGGCGGATCTCTGGGAGTTCGAGGCCAGCCTGGTCTACAAGAGCTAGTTCCGGGACAGGCACCAAAGCTACAGAGAAACCCTGTCTCGAAAAACCATAAAAAAAAAAAAAATTGCACCATAGGGTTTCTCAATCTGGTGGGAGTATTTTCCAGACGGTCCCTCTTCTCAAAATTTCCATTGTTGATGTTAAACTAGCCAGCATACAGTTCCAGCTTGATTTCTCTGTATCAAACTTTCTGTTTCTTTAACAATGGGGTCTTAGCATCTAGTTATGGTGCTCAACCAAGAGCAACAGCAATACACTATGTTGTTTTGAAAGCCTCTGGAGCCTCCTTGACTAGTAATTCATAGGAAGGTATCCTACGCCAGGCACTGAGAATTTCATTTAATAACTCAGGTCTTCTGGGGGAAGCATTGTCCATCCATTCAGAGCATCTCCATTAAAACATGTGTGTGTTTTTATACATATCTTTATAAACACATACACACATACATATATTAAAACAGGCATGGTGATGTACACCTTTAATCTCAGCATGCAGGAGGCAGAAGCAGATGGATCTCTGTGAGTGCCAAACCAGCCTGGTCTACATAATAAGTGCCAAGACAGCCAGGACTACATTGTGAGACTGTCTCAAAATAACATGAATAACAAAACCAAAAATGAATAAAAACACGTACTTTAAAATTAGTTTACAGAGTATGAAGCCCTAAGGCTTCTCCATCCATACTTAGTTTTGGATAACCCTACCATCCACTCCACTCAAACTCTTAATGCCAGAAATCCCTGTTTTCAGGTGTTCTACTAGCCCTATCTCCCTAAAGACCTGTCCCCTTCTCCCTCTCAGGGACCCTTTCTAGGTTCTTCACCTCTGCAAACACTCCCACTCAGACACACAAATCTAAGAATTTGAAGACAGGATCTGTATATGTGAGAGAGCACAAGGTATTTGTCTTTCTGGGCCTGAATTACCTCATTTAATATTAGCACTACAAGCACCACACATTTCCTAGAACTCTCTTAGCACTGGACTCCTAGGCAGAGGAGATAAAAGTCTGGAGGCAGATGTCAAGGCAGCATGCTACAGAGACAAAGGCCATGCTAGGTCACTAAAGCCCACCTTCCCTTGCTCGAAGTTTTTAATAGTCTTCACTGTTGTATCTTTGGAGTAAAGCATTTTCTCTTTTGCTTGAGCCAGGATCAGGACATAGCCTGGGTTGGTCTTTAACTCTCAGCCCTCCTGCTTTTACAGCACAGTGATGACAGGTATGTGCCACTACCCTCAGCACAGTGATGACAGGTGTGTGCCACTACCCTCAGCAGTGATGACAGGTGTGTGCCACTACCCTCAGCAGTGATGACAGGTGTGTGCCACTACCCTCAGCACAGTGATGACAGGTGTGTGCCACTACCCTCAGCACAGTGATGACAGGTGTGTGCCACTACCCTCAGCAGTGATGACAGGTGTGTGCCACTACCCTCAGCAGCGATGAAAGGTGTGTGCCACTACCCTCAGCACAGTGATGACAGGTGTGTGCCACTACCCTCAGCAGTGATGACAGGTGTGTGCCACTACCCTCAGCACAGTGATGACAGGTGTGTGCCACTACCCTCAGCACAGTGATGACAGGTGTGTGCCACTACCCTCAGCAGTGATGACAGGTGTGTGCCACTACCCTCAGCAGTGATGACAGGTGTGTGCCACTACCCTCAGCACAGTGATGACAGGTATGTGCCACTACCCTCAGCAGTGATGACAGGTGTGTGCCACTACCCTCAGCAGTGATTACAGGTGTGTGCCACTACCCTCAGCACAGTGATTACAGGTGTGTGCCACTACCCTCAGCAGTGATGACAGGTGTGTGCCACTACCCTCAGCAGTGATTACAGGTGTGTGCCACTACCCTCAGCACAGTGATTACAGGTGTGTGCCACTACCCTCAGCACAGTGATTACAGGTGTGTGCCACTACCCTCAGCAGTGTTGACAGGTGTGTGCCACTGCCCTCAGCACAGTGATGACAGGTGTGTGCCACTGCCCTCAGCACAGTGATGACAGGTGTGTGCCACTGCCCTCAGCACAGTGATGACAGGTGTGTGCCACTACCCTCAGCACAGTGATGACAGGTGTGTGCCACTGCCCTCAGCACAGTGATGACAGGTGTGTGCCACTGCCCTCAGCCATTTACACTGAGTAGAGGTCATCATTCCTGTGACTTTTTTGTTCTCACTGTAACTTTTGAAAATCAAAATCAGTTAAACTAGATACTCTGAATTGTCTCCATGGCCTTTTCTTTTTATGTTATTTCTCTGTATATATCTTGCTTAGAATTTTGTTCAGGTTTGGGGATGGCTCTGCGGTCTCCTTGGATAGAGTAAACTATAGCCTAGAATTCCTTTTTGTTTGCAGTTAAGGCAGAGAGATAGTCTGCTTGAGTTAAAGAGCAGATGGCAAGGCAGGCCCTTGACAGTATTACATATCTTCTCCCAGGTACTCAGGCAGGCACTGGTCAGGCACCATCTCATGTGGGGTGCTACCAATGTGCTTAGCATCCCAAATCAGGTTAGCTTTGGCTCGGGCCAGTATGGTTGAATTTTGCCATCTGCCTGTGGCTCAACTGGCACTGGACACTCTAAGAAAGCCTAGTTCATACATCTAGTAAAGCTTCCAGTCTATCACTGACAGAAGTCAGGTACTAAACAGGAACTTGGAGGCAGGAGCTGAAGCGAAGACCACAGAGAAATGCTTACTAGCTTGCTCAGGTTCCATATTTATACCCAGCACCATGTAACCAGGAGTGTCATGGCCCACAACGGGCAGGGTCCTCTCATAGCAATCACTAGTGATGAAAATGCCCTACAAATTTGCATACAGGCCAATCTGATAAAGGAATGACTCCAGTTTATTTCAAGTTGACAAAAACCAGCACAGACACGCACACCACACTGGGCTGGAGGCTGAACAGAGCTTCATGTATGCCAGGCAAGCATCCTATCAACTGAGTTACACTCCAAGATCTTTTTAAGTTTTTTATATTGGTCTTTGAGCCTTTTGATTATCCTAATAAAAGGCATGAAATATGAATTTAGCACCATAAGCTATATTATTCCTCTTTCCAGCACTGGCTTAAAGGTCTAATTTTTTCCATAAACTAAACATATTAACATTTGGAGACTGGCCAGTGTGAGTTACTCAGGAATGGAGGCAAAGCCCTAGAGAAGGAAGCAGGCAGATGTCCACTGATCTAGACGGTGAGAACTGTCACGATGGTCACCTAAGGAGAATACTGAAGGATTCCTTTTTTAAAATGTAAATGAGTATTTTGCCTGCATGTATGTCTGTGAACCACATGTGTGCCTGGTGCCTGCAGATGCCAGATGTCAGATTCCTAAAACTAGACTTATGGATGGTTTGAGTCACCATATGGGTGCTGAGAATCAAACCCAGGTCTTCTACAAGATCAACAAGTGCTCTAAACTGTTGAGCCATCTCTACAGCCCCTCCCCAATTTTTGAAAGATTCTTAACTGTCAGGTACACAGTAAATAACAGGTAACACAAAATGTTTTTTCCTATAAAAACTGTATTCAGGCCAAAACATTTAAATGCATGACCAAACCTGTTATTTTATCAAGAAGGACATTTCTATGTCCTCTAAGAGCAGTCATTTACTTCTAGGGAAAGGATGGATGTCTACTTGGCTGTCACAGTTCCATCATGTCTACTTTCTTTGTAAGTTCAGCTTCGATGGCATCCTAGAGGAAAAGAAATAAGTCATAAATTATTAACATGATTAAAATAAGTAGAAAAGGAAAGCACTAAAACAAATTTTATTTATTTTTTATAGTCCTAGAGACCAAATTGAGGAACTTACATAAATTAGTGAGGTCCTCTACTGCTGAGCTACATTGCCACCCCTTGGTGTGTGTGGTGTGTGCATGTGTGCATGTGTGTGCACATAAGTGTCTGCTACTAGTGAAGCCCCCTTCTGCTGAGCTACATTGTCATCCCTTGGTGTGTGTGGTGTGTGCGTGTGTGCGTGTGTGCATGTGTGTGCACATAAGTGTCTGCTACTAGTGAAGCCCTCTACTGCTGAGCTACATTGTCAGCACATGTGCATGCATGTGTTAGTGTATGTAGTTTTTAGAGTCTTGCTATGTAGCTTTAGCTAATGTCAAACTTGAAGTAATCCTCCTGCCTTGGCCTTCTGAGTACTGAAATTTTAAAAATACTATTGAGAATTTCAAATGTGCTTTTAAATATTCACTTGCTTTTATATCAACCCATTCTCTCCACTCCAACTGCCCTGCTGTGGAATATTAGTTGAAGATGTGTTACATTTGTTTATGCTATGGAACGTTTGTTTAATGACGCAAAGATGTGTTGTGTTCTTTTAACTCTGTGACGCTGTGTCACTTTGCCTGTCTAAAACACCTGATTGATCTAATAAAGAGCTGAACTGCCAATAGCTAGGCAGGAGAAAAAACAGGCAGGATTGGCAGGAAGAGAGAATAAATAGAAGGAGAAATCTAGGCTCGGAAAAGATAGAGGAGCGAGAAAAATAGAAGAGAAGGACAACAGGGGCCAGCAACCCAGTTACACAGGCAGCAAAAAAATAAGAAAAAAAGGTACACAGAATAGTGAAAGATAAAAGCCCAGAGGCAAAAGATACACAGCTGTACACAGCTGGCTAGAAACAAGCTAAGCTAGGACGAGGATTCATAAGTAAGAATAAGTTTCAGGATGTTTATTTGGGAGCTGGGTGGTGGCACCCCCAAAACAGCTAAAGAAAAACAAGAACAATACCCCCCAGTTCTCAAACTCCTAAATGATTGTAATGAACACCCCAAGGGAAGAGACCTTAGAAAGATGCAGTGGCACATGGGTAGACGTCTAGGTCTGTGCTCCACAGTGCTGCACACACACCTTTCATTCTCAGGGCTTCATCACTTCTCACTTGGCCTAAATAAACCAACCGCTCTCTGCAGTTTCTTCTCCCCACTCCAGTCTGCCTCATACGCTCGTTACAGAACTGCTGTCCCAAAGCACTGGCCTCATCAAAAAGTACAACCTTGATTACTTTTTTGACTTAAAAAAAAAAAAGGAACAAAGTAAATAAGAAAAATGAATAAATAAAAGCAAAGAACTCAGCAACTGTCACCAGTCTCTTGCAGCTTCTAAGATCAAGTCTTAGAAGATAAGGCCCTTTACAATTTCTTTTTTTTTTAAGATTTATTTATTTATTATGTATACAGTGTTCTGTCTGCATGTATACCTGCAGGGCAGAAGAGGGCACCAGATCTCATTATATGGATGGTTGTGAGCCACCATGTGGTTGCTGGGAAATTAACTCAGGACCTCTCGAAGAACAGCCAGAGCTCTTAACCACTGAGCCATCTCTCCAGTCCCGAAATATTTATTTATTTTTATGTGCATTGGTGTTTTTGCCTGCATGAATGTCTGTGCAAGAGTGCCAGACCCCCTGGAACTGGAATTATAGACAGTTGTGAGCTGCCATGTGGGTGCTGGGAATTGAACCCCGGTCCTCTGGAAGAACAGCCAATGGTTTTAACCATTAAGCCATCTCTCCAGCTCTCCTTTACAATTTCTATCACAAACCCTGTCTTGGGCTATGTATGCCCAAGCAGTTGAACCTTATCACTTGACACAGCTTAGAAATCTTATTACCTCAATTTAATAATTGCTAATTAAAAAGGGGGAAATCAAGGAAGGAAAATGGGAACTACTTACTAATTCTCTCTTTGCCTCTTCAATTTTCACTTGAGCAAGAGATGGATTCTTAAAAAGGAAAACAAAAGAAGGAAAGGTCTGATGAGAAGTTTCACATGGGCTCTGCTGGATGCTGTTGGCACTATTTTGGGAAGCTCTAACCTTCAAGAAGAAGAGGTCACTATGGGCGAGGTTTTTCAAGACAGGGTTTCTCCACCGTCCTGGAGAAGCCCTAATTGTCCTGGAACTTGCTTTGTACACCAGACTGGTCTTGAATTCTCAGGAATTTCCCCTGCCTCTCCCTCCCTCCCAAGTGCTGGGATTAAAGGTGTGTGACCCACTACCCAGTCCTACAGGAGCCATTTTCTTTCAATTAATTAATTAGTTAGTTAGTTAGTCAGTTTGTTTATTGTTTTTTTTGAGACAGGGTTTCTCTGTGTAGCTTTTTGGAGCCCGTCCTGGAACTCGCTCTGTAGAGCAGGTTAGTCTTGAACTCACAAGGATCTGCCTGCCTCTGCCTCCTGAGTGATGGGATTAAAGGTGTATGCTACCACCTCCCAGCTTATGGAGGCATTTTCTCAATTGAGGTTACCTCCTTTCAGATAACTCTAGTGTGTGTCAAACTGACATCAAACTATCTAGCACAAGACTGGTTCCTGGTTTCTGGATTGTTCTCTGCTTCCAGGTCTGCCATGTTGTACTGACCTGTTCCACCTGCCTTTCCCACCACTATGGCTAAAACTATGAAAATGTGAGCTTTGCTACTAAATGAGTCTTTGCTCCCTTAAGTTGTTTCTGTGAGGGATCATGGTCACAGTGATACAAACAAATATAGAAAGGAAAGTCGCTTCACAACACAATCCCTTCAAAAGGCAAGGAAAGTTAGCGAGAGCACCCAGCACCCAGACAATACTGAAATTTACCAATAACAATGTATGTGTGTATGTGTGTGTGTGGGGGGGGTGTTAAGTCAGAATCTTGGCGGGAAAGATGGTTCACTAGGTAATGGCACTTGCGCCAAACCTGGGGATGAGTGAAATCCTTAGTAAGAGAACCAGCTCTGGCCTCCATGCATACTGTGACACTCACACCCCCCCCCCAAAAGTAAATGTAACAAGACAGAGCCCAAAGTGGCCTTGAATTCAAGGCCTCAGCCTCTCAAGTGCCGTGGTCAGAGACATGGTCCACCATGCCAAGCACACCACTGTCTTTGTTTTGTTATTCAGATACAACATTTTATTCTGTGGCCAAAACTATCTTAGAACTCACAGTGACCCTCTGCCTCAGCCTCCAAGTGTTCAGATTACAAGTGTGAGTCACCATTCTCAGTTCTGCCATTGATTTTACACCATTGGACCACAAACCCACTATGCGCTGATCTCTTAGTGTCTTTAGAGTAGGTTTGAAGATGAGACTCCAAGAAAACCCCTAATAACAATTACCGGCATTAAATCTAAATAGGACTCCAATTTCTTCTTCAGGGGTAAAGTCTGCTGTTTTAGTTCCATGAGTTTCTGGAAATGAAAAGAGAAATATCCACAAAACAACTAAACAGTGCTCATTTCTGAAATAAAATGCAATAAAGCATTACTATGTAGGTATCTCATTAAGATAGACTCTTGGCTTCCTGAAGGTTGGTAAGCAATCTACCACTGAACTACACTGTCCAATCCACAGGTATTTTAAATCAAAGAACTTCAAACAGATCAGCTCATTTCTAATAGAAACAATACTTTTCCAAATGTTTAGAATAAATTATATTCCTACTTACACAGTATAGGACTACAGAAGCTAACAATATGGTTCAGGGGTAAAGCCTGGAGAGCTGAGGTTTTTCTATTTTCTTTTAATTGTATTTTATTTTATGGTATAAGGTTTTTGCTTGTTTTGTAACCTTTTTTATGTGCTCCTAGAGGTAAGAATAATATACTTAATGCCCTGGAACTAGAGTCACAGATGGTTGTGAGCCACCGTGTGGGTGCTAGGAGACAACCTGGGTCCTCAGCAAGAGTACAATAGTGCTAACCACTGAGCTATCCCTCCAGCCCGTTTCATTTTTTACGTTCATTTTCTGTGTATGAGTGCTATGCCTACATATATGACTGTGAGTCATATGTATTCCTGGTGTCCACAGAAGCAGGTGTCAGGTCCCCTGCAAGTGGAGTTACAGACAGTTGTGAGCCACCATGTTGGTGCTTTCTACAAGAGCAGTCAGTGCTCTTTAATGGCTGGGTATCTCTCTAGCCCCTGATAAACTAAGTTGGATCCCAGGACCAATGTGGGAAAAAGAAATCAAACTCCTCTAAATTGCATGTGCTGTGTGGAAGCTGGAGGTTGACACTGGGTATCATCTCAGTCACTCAACACCTTATTTTTCGAGACAATGTCTTTCACTAGACGTGAAACTCACTGATAGGCTAGACTACCTGGCCCAGGAGTAACCAAGCTCATTATGTTACCTGTGACCCCTTACTTACTCAGACGTGTGCCAAGTATAATGGCTTCAATGTCTGACTTGAAGCTGGAGCTGCTGCTCAGTAGTTATGTAAACTTGGGCAAATTACAGATCCTTTCTGTAATTCCCTCATCTACATAAAGGGACTGATAACATAGAAACTGCCCGTCTTTAGCCCCTCACTCCCCAGTGCTGGGTTTACATGTGCAGCCACACCCAGCTTTTACGTGGGTGCTGGGGACCCAAACTCAGGTAAGCACTTTCCCAACACTCAGCCATCTCCCTCACCCTGGGACCTGCATCTTCTGCTGTCCACTGAAGAACACAGTAGAGGGCCCTCAGGTCTTAGACTTTTTAGCCTTTAGAATCACAAACAAAATAAACTTCTATTTTAACTGCTCATAAATGATCCAGTCTGGAATATTCTGTGACAGCAGCAAAGGACAGACTAAGACAGGAGGCTTACCTCTGAAAGTGCCACTAGTGACCGATGGGACAGAGACATATCCATGCCTCTGGCTAAGAGCTGCTCCTGCAATGTGAGGAAAAAAGAGTTCAGCTGAAAAATCCATTTGAAAGAAACTATCATGAAAATGTTTTCAACATGCAATAAAGAATGCTTCGGATGACAAATTAAAAAGCACACATGCACCTAAGCTAGTTTGTGTGACTTGTGAATCCTTTCTGCACTGAGACATGGTGAGAAGATGGGTGCCGGGTGTAAGTGTTTAAATGCCCGACTTTGAACCTGGAGCTGCTCACAGTTACATAGACGTGGGCAAGTTACAGACTTCCCTGTAGTTCTGTCATCTACAGATACTACTTCCTACTGGAAGACAGCGGTCTGAGAGGCTAGCTAGATACAGCGCTTCATACACACCTGTGCAGCTTTGATTCCAAACCTGAACTCCGCTGCTTTTGCTTTCAGGAAGTCCATGTTCTCAAGACGACTGTCAACTTTGGTCCTCTCTGCAGACAGATGCAGCTCTGCCTTCTTGAGATCTCTTCCAAAAGTAAAATTAAAGCATTTTTTTTTTAACTTCCCAGTAAACAATTATTTAAAAAAACAAGAAAATCAACTCCCTCTTTAGGGATTTAACTCTGGCTTAGTCAATATAGATAATCTACTTGGCAGCTGTTCCACCACAAGTTAACATCCCAGACTACAATGCATTCTTTAGGGCATTTACCCCTCCATGTTGCCAGTGTGGGACTTTTCTGAATATAGATACATTAACATTAATCTATAACAATTATTCTTGGAACAACTAAGCACGTTATTTAAAAAAAATGGTTTAATATATCCTAAGCCAATTTGAAATACAGAATTCCAAAGACCTCTCTACTCTGTGACATGACACAGTGCCTACTACATACATCTTATTTGTTGAATACATTTGTATGTGACCAAATTACTCTGCCTTTACATAAATGCTAACCACCAGCTTTAATCTCTGGGCCAGTAAGAATCTAAAGGCTCGGGGACTGGAGAGATGGCTCACAGTGGTTAAGAGTACTGACTGCTCTTCCAGAGGACCCGGGTTCAATTCCCAGCACCCACATGGCAGCTCACAACTGTCTGAAGATCCAGTTGCAGGGGATCTGATACCTTCACACCAATGCACATAAAATAAAGTTAAATAAACCACAAAAAATATTAAAAAAAAAAGAATCTAAAGGCTCACAGCATCAAAGAGGGACATTAGAGCTACAGAAAAAACATACCAAACATGTGTCTTTAAATTATATGATAGTTTGTGAGTATAAAAATTTGAAAATTATAAAACTACATATTTTTAATAAAGCAAAAATAAACATATGGGTAATAAACTGTATAAAGTAAAATATGAAAATCTGTACCTAAGCCCCTCCTGAATGGTTCAGGCAGCCATGGACTTAAGTGGCTCCTGTTTCAGCCTTCCAATAGCTGGGATTACAGTCCTGTGTCATCATGTCTGGTTTGACAATGTCCTACTAATGCTTTATAATTGAAAAGGTCAACATTTTAACTCACTCTCGTAGACATTTTTCTAACACTAATGTTGCAGTCAGATTTTTTCCAAGTTTTCCCAATTCAAGATTAATTTCTTCACTTTTGGATTTGGTATGAAAAAGGTCAGAAGTCAAATCGTTCACTGTAGGAATAAAACTGAAAGAGGAACTTGGTTACACAGACGAGCTAAGGATAAGCACTGCTAAAAATGATCTCTCTGGAGTTTATGTAATCACACTGTTCCATCCATTTATATAACTGACACATGCTGTTTCCATTGCCTGAAATGCCCGTCAGCAGGCAAAACTCCCTTTTTCCCTAGGTAGGCTGAGTATGGTGGTACACACCTTTATTCCCAGGGCTGGGAGGCAGAGGCAGGCAGATCTCTGAGAGTTCAAGAACCCCCTGGTCTGCAGAGTAAGTTCCAGGCTAATCAGGGATACATAATGAGACCACGTTTTAACAAAATAAAAACAAAACCAACAAACAAAAACCCTAAGAAAAAACCCAAAAACCTCTCAAGTAAGATTTACCCATCCTAAATTACTGTCCTTTGTCTGTGCTTGCCAGGGATAGCATCCTTAGTCTTAGTACATGAGTCTAACTCATGTACAGAGCAGCTGTTATAGGGGGGCAGAATTCTCTCCACTGTTCTCTCTCATTTGACTAAGAAACTGTCTTTGAAGGTCCTGTCTAGCTCCCGATTCATCTCTGTTTCCCTAGGATTAACACCTACACAGTTGTGTTTGGTATCGGAAGAATTGATTTGGTGTACACCACTGCTGCCATGTAGTTTACATGCTTTTACACTTACAACACCACCCTTTAAGCATCATATAAAGCCCAAACCTTTCCACTGGCAGTTAAGCACAACACACTTCTGTGTACTTGGGTGGTATGGTAAGCTGCAGTAGTAGTCCTAGCTAACAAATGGCCACCAACAGCAGTCATATGGCCTTTGGAGTCAGATTTTCTGAGTCCCAACTCTTCAGATTCCTCTGAGAACGGTGGAAGAAGTAGATCATTATATAGGCGAAAGGTCTATCTCAAACAATGAGGGTCTTTAGCATGGTGGTGATTATACATGCCTTAAACCCAGCACTCAGGAGGCAGAGGCAGGTGAATCTCCATAAATTCAAGGCCAGCCTGATCTACAGGGTGAGTTCCAGGACAACCATGGCTACACAGTGAAACCCTGTCTGATTTAATGTTGTATATGACCAAAACATGCTCAACCAGGTCATTTAACCTACTACTGTTCTGCTTGTTTGGTGGTAGGTGGGTCCTCACATAATATACACTGGTCTCAAACTCTCTAAGTGGTTGATAATGACCTTGACTTTCTGACCTTCCTGCCTCCAGCTCCTGGGTGCTGGACTTGTCCAGGGTTATGCCCACATAATAATGCAACAGTCTACAGCTGTCCTAGTTTGTTCATTAGTGCTGTGATCAACACCAAGACCAAAGCAGCACAGAAGAGGGTTTATTTTAGCTTACACTTACAGATACAACACTTAGAGAAGTCTCAGGGCAGGAACTCAAGCAAAAGCAATAGAGGAACACTGCTTACTGGCTCCATCTCTCTGTCTTCTGCTCGGCTATCCTTCTTATGTAGTCCAGTGCCATCCACCCCTGGTACTGTTGTGCTAAGTAGACCTCAGTGCATGAAAACCAACACACAAACTAACAACAAAACACCCTACCCAAACCAATCAACAAACTTAACAAACAAACAAAAAAAAATCACCTCAGCACTTTTGCATTTATTGTTAATTTTCTATGCAGAATTATAGTGAGAACCAAAACCTCCTAAAATCAAGGCCTTACAGTATATTTATCCTCCTGTGCGAACACAGACCAAAAGCATTACAATATTTACCTTGCTAGTGAAGTATCTTTTGTTTCCAAGGCTATTGCACTGTCAACCAATGCATTTAGAAACCTGGAACCAGTGTTAGACAGAGTGGCAGGGGAGAAATTCACACTCTCCATGAGAAAGTCCTGAAGATGTTTGGCTGAAACAAAAAAAGAATTTTATGGTGTCTCAGATGTTTTGTCTTTCTTGTTTTATAAACTTTTATCATAGTTTTTTTTTAAATAAAGATTTATGTGAGCCAAGCATGGTGTTGAAAGCCTTTAATCTCAAACTCCAGCAACCAAAACCAAAACAGGACACCTCTGATTTCGAGGCTAACCAGATCTACATGGAGAGTTCCAAAAGAGCCAAGGCTACACAAAGAAACCCTACTTCAAAAAATTATTATTATTATCATTATTATTTTATTTTTAATTATGATATGTGTGTCTGTGCACTTTGAGCACAGGTAGAGTTGTGAAGTGTCCAGTAGGTTGTGTTGGGAACCAACTTGTTCAATCCTCAGGACCCACACACAGTAGAACACAGAACTGACTCTTCTGAGCTGCTCTCTGACTTCCACGCGCTCATGTACCCATGCCTCAAAAGCAGTAAGTGAAATTAAAAAAGAAAGAAAGAAAACAGGGGATCACTATGTAGACCTGGAATTCACAATGTAAACCATAACAGCCTTGAACTCAAGAGATATGCCTGCTCCTGTCTCCTAAATGCTAAGACTAAAGAAGAAAGCCACCCTATCCATAAAATAAATGTAATTTAGCTGGATAGTGGTGGTACACCCCTTTAATCCCAGAACTGGGGAGGCAGAGGCAGAAGGATCTCTGTGAGTTTGAGGCCAGCCTGGTCTACAAAATAGTTTCCAGGACAGCCAGGGCTGTTACACAGAGAAACCTTGTCTCAAAACACTTAAATCCCCAAAAATCCAATTTCAAAAGACCATATTATGAGAATCCAAATAAAGGAGTAAACATGGAAGTTTTGCACACCAAACTTTCTGTGCTAATTTTAAAAGACTGGGGAGGCAGAGGCAGGCGGATCTCTGTGAGTTCAAGGCCAGCCTGGTCTACAAGAGCTAGTTCCAGGACAGGCATCAAAGCTACAGAGAAACCTTGTCTCAAAAAACAAACAACCACAACCACAACAACAAAAAGACTATTGGAAAAAGTATATATGCGTTAGAATTAAATATAACTGCACTATATTCAAAACATCATATAGTGTTTGGAGAGATGTTCAGTTTGTTGTTGTGGTTGCTGTTGTTTGTTCTGAGACAGGATCTCTGGTTGTCTTGGAACTCTATCTAGACCAGGCTATACTCGAGACCCACCTGCCTCAGCCTCCCAAGTGCTGGGATCACTCAGCTAGAGCACTTGCTCTTGCAGAGGATCTAGATGCAGTTCCCAGGACCCACACGGTGGCTTACAATCACACTAGCTCCAGTTCCTGGGGATCCAACACCCACTTCAAACCTCTACAAATACCAGGCATGCACAGAGTGTACATAAATCCATGCAGACAAAACACTTTTACACATAAAATCTTTTTTTTCCCCAAAAAAATATATATAACAAATGTCCCGTACTTGGTTAAACATATGGCAAACAGATCTCACTTCCTCTGTTTGGTGCACTGTCATCCTCAAAACTTTTTGTTTAAGTAGAATGAGCATAAATTTATTAAGAAAAAGTAATAAAGAACCCTAGCGTGAGAGGAGTTCCAAAGAAGGAATGTCCCAGAAAGACTTTTGTCCTTCCCTTTGGCTTTGTACCCTGCTCTCACTGTCAACACCAACAAAAAGAGGGGAAAGAAAAAGACTGTCTTTTGAGACAGTCTTGCCAAGTGATCCAAGCTGACACTGCACTCCCTACGATTCCCATGCTGCACCTTCTGAATGCTGGGATTACAAGCTTTCACCATCATGTCTGTCTCCGCAGGAAATTTTAAAGCAAGTCCCTGATCCACGGCCCCTGGTGATTTGTCCAAGTCTCACCCTTCAGGGCTGCTGCCTCTAGTGTCTGCACAAGCTCCGGAAGGGGAAGGGGAGAAAACTACAAGCATCTTTCTTGTTAGGCTAATGCGCTTTTGTTCTGGTTTTTGAGAAAGGCTCTTACTGTGCAACCTAGGCTGACCTTGAACTCACAGACATCCTTCTGACTCTCCCACCAACCCCCACCCCAGCAAATTTAATTCTCTTTTAGGATTCACTGTTTTACTAGCAGAGTACCAATAAAACACACTATAGTAAATTTCTAATTTGGAAGTTACTATAATGGAGCAGAAGTCAATTGCCCAAAATAATAACGGTGATAATCAATCCAAGTATCCTATCCTAATCGTGCAAATCTAGTTAACGCTACGACCTCTTTCAGAACTCGGCATTAACTCACCTTCTGACTCATACTCATTTGCTTTCTGTTTTAAATCCTCTATTACCAGGCAGATGTCCCTGTCTCGGACCCTGTTGCGTTCTGAAAGGTGATACAAAATTTCTGTCGTCCGTGGATTCACCTCATACTGTGGAATGGGATGGTCTCCGAATATCTTTTTCAACCACGCCGCAACCTAACCACGAAAAGGTAAGCCTTGTTATAATGGCACAACAGAATCCGACAAAGCAGGGCTCCGCAGCCAACTCAACGTTTTGTGTGGCTATTCCGGGGTCCTGACTTGTCAACAAGGGAAAAGTCGAAATGAACAAGGACCCCTCACTCTTTGCCAACGCTGCAAACGCAGCACCAGGCAAAACAAAAACAAAAACCACCACCAACAACAAATCGAAACAAAAACCCACAGCTGCCAGATCTTAAAGAGTGTGAAGTAAGATCCGTGACGGTCTGAAAAGCAAGGGGTCCCCAACACATCCTAAACCCCCCAGTGCCAGGCGGCTCCAGGAGTTGGACTAAGGCTCGGATGTTTGAATTCCAGGCTGAAGCAGCAGAGGCTGGGCTGCAAGGCGGGTTTGCCTCGGGAGTCCCACTCCAGCCTTAAGTGAGGGGCTGACACAGGAAAAGGAGGGCACGGCCTCCGGGGGGGGAGGGGACTCCCAGCCTGCAAGGGGCCTCAGGGCTCGCGGGGGCACCGTGCGATCGGGACAGAAACTACAGTGCGGTGAGCGAGGAGCCCGGCAGACTCAAGGCCCCGGGAGGGTTAGGCAGGTTCCCCCGACCCAGCTCCGGATGTCACCTGCGATTCTCTCTCCTCTGGCGCCGCCATGGCTACCGCTCCCGCCACCTCACTCTCAAAACCTCGCGGGGAACGCCCCAGGCCCCACCCCCTAACCGTTGTGTCCGCCCCTCAGGCGCGGGAATTCTGGGAGTTGTGGTTTTTACCCATTCCAGTAACTTGAACTCCTCAGGGCCTAGTCTGATTGAAGGTTTCGCAGACTTTGCTGCATTCTTGGATCTGAGCCCACTGTGTCATAATCATAAAAATTAGAAGAGCTGCTAAAGGCAAGTTTTTTTTCCTTATATTTACCACTTCAATCAAATTGTCTTTAAAATACCTGTAACTTCCAGTTTTTAGTCTGCAGATGGTATTGCTCCCATACTGATTGCATAAATTATATTTGAATATGGTGGCACTTGCATGTAATCCCAGAACTAAGACATTACATAGTGATATGGCAAGCTCCATGTCAGCCTGAGCTATGGCGTGAGACTATCTCAAACAAACAAACATACTCAAAAGGGTTGAACTTCATGACTGGGAGTTGGTAGAGTGCTTACCCGACATGCGGGTTGGATCTCCAGCAGATCCTTTACTGTATATGGTAGTATACACTTGTAATTCTGGCACCTAGAGGGTCGAGGAAAGGTGATCGGAAATGTAAAACCATCTTCAACTACATAACAAATTCAAGGCCAACCCCGCTTATATGATGAAACCTGTCTTAGTTAGGTTTTTTCTTTTTTTCTTTCTTTTTCTTTTCTTTTCTTTTTTTTTCTTCTGTGAAGAGACAGCATGACCACTGCAACTATTATAAAGAAAACCTTTAATTGGAGTGGCTTGCTCACAGTTTCAGAGGTTCAGTCCTTTATCTTCATGATGGGGACCACAATGGCATGCAGGCAGATGTGCTGGAGTCAAGAATGCTACATCTTGAAGTCCTGAAGGCAACAGGAAGTCAACTGATAGTCATACTTAGGGAAGCTTGAGCAAAAGAGACTTCAAAGCCCAACCCCACAGTGACACATTTCCTCGAAAAAGGCCACACCTCTTAATAGAGTAACTCCTTTTGGGGATCATTTTCTTTCAAACCACCACAAAAACCTATCTCAAAAAACCAAAACCAAATTAATTTTTTGTTGTCCTCTGGCATAGGAGCTGCAGCTATCTTCATATTAGTTTCTGCTATCAAGGATCCAAATGTCCTTAAGATTTATTTATTTAAGCTTTTATGCTTTTATTACATTTCAAAATTTGTTTGGTTTGGGGGAGTTGCTGATAGGGTGTCAAAGCACAACTTTCAAGAACAGATAGATTCTTGTTGTGGGATACAACTGCACACTGAGAAGATGTGCTGCTCTCATTGATAATTAAAAGCAAATTGTCCAATGGCGAGGCAGGATTTGAGGGCCAGGAGAATGCTGGGGAGAAGAAGGGTAGAGACAGAGGAGTCGCCAGCCAGATGGGGAAGATGCAGCATGACGGGGGCATAGATGAGGTCAGGGGGCCTCGGGGTAGCACATAGATGAATAGACATGGGTTCATTTAGAGACACACACGGGTCTAATCTACATGGGAAGTAGAAAAAGACAAGATCTCCTGAGTAGATTGGGAGCATGGGGACCATGGGAGAGGGTAGAAGGGGAGGGGAGAGGAGGAGAGGAGAGTGGAGAAAAATATATACCTCAATAAAAACAATTTTAAAAAAAGAAATGGATTCATTTAAGTTATAAGAGCTGGCTGGAGATAAGCCTACACTATCAGCTGAGCATCCATAATTAATAAGAAATCTCTGTGTGATTATTTGGAAAGGACTGCTGAGACACAGAGAAACTCCGTCTATAGATTTTCTCCTTCCAACATGTAGGTCCCTGAGGTCAAACTTAAAGATCAAACTTGGGATCGAGGTTTGAAAGCAAGCACCTTTACCTACTGGGCCATCTCCGTAGCCTTTTTTATTTATTTATGCTTGATTTGAGGCTTTCTCATGTGGCTAAAATGGCTGGGAACTTGCCATGCACCGGAGAACGACTTTGAATTCCGCATATTTCTTCTGTGTTTTACTCTGTAGTCAAAGGTGACCCTCTACTTCTGGTCCCTTACATCCAGCTCCCAAGTGTGGAGATTACGAGTTGTAACGGCATAAGCGAATGCAGACAGATTGTAAAAATATATATACAGCTTTAATGGCGAAATAGACTTACAGAACCACCGTTCCCGCAGAGACCAGGAAAGCAGAAGCTACGGCTGGGAGCAGGCTCGCAAAATTTATAGGCAAACATTAGCCCGAGGCGAACACGCCCCCAAGGGGCGGGACTTATCCCTACATCTCCCCTTTTTGTCTAAATAAGACAGAACCAAACCAAATACAACTATATACAATAACAACAAATAATAAATATAACAAACAATATTGAGAACAAAAGCTTTGCTAAACATTCTATCTCAAGGAGTCCAAATAATGTAGAGAGTAACTACAATTATATAATCTTCAACTCCATCAAAGATCTGAGAAGGGAATAAACACTACTCAACAAACGAGATATATCCAAAATGTGCAACAATTGACAGAGACAACTGACTACGTGGGCAATCACCCAAAGTCTTGTTTGCAATGTTGAGTCAACCAATTTTGGCTAAGGCCTAACATAACTGACATACCATTATTAAAGGCAAGGAACTTTTCAAAACTATCTTACCCTGTCTTGGCAGGATATGACAGTCCTGTTTTATCCATTGATGCACGCTCTGTATCTCTGTCAGTGGTTGAGGTATGGGCATTTCTTTGCCCAAAGGCCAGTTCTGCCAAATAGAAAGGCTCCAGGTGGAGTGTCTTTGGTGCTCAACATTCTCTCGGGAATAGAGCGGTGTTGCCAGGAGCAATTGTGTCTCACTATCACGAAACTCTGAGTTATATTAAAGGCCATTTTCTACAGCTCTTTGAAGAGGTCGAAGATTATCTATCTATACTGAGTATAATCTCTATATATCTAGAGAACCTGATTAGTCTAATTATAAATGACAAACTTAGATGACAATTTATCTATATAATTCTCAATATCTATCTAACTTAAAGACTAAGACAATAAACAACTGTGTAACAAATGAGGATAATGACCTCCAAATATAAACACTGTACAAATATACATTGCAATATGGTAAATGTATATAAATACACAAACATTATATAAATATCTTAATCAGAGGTAGAAATGTACACTGCAATATGGTAAATATATACAACATATATTTATCAATACAATATATGTCAATACATAAAAAATGTTTTAAACAGAGATAGAAACATGCATGCATACAATAGTCAATATAATTTAACTTTGTATCAATATACAAGAACGAATACCAATATATTTGTCTAAAAGCAGTAACTCACAATTATAAATCTATTATCCTATCATTCCCTCTTTTTTTTTTTCCAAAATGATCCCTGAGCTTATAAAATTCCTCCCCCAACCTCCCAACCCCTAAATGATGTCCCTAAACCCAGGGGTAAACTTTACTGGGAGAGGGGACATTGTCCTCTAGAATTACTTCCAGCTGTCATGGGGGCGACGTTCTTTCTGGGGGATCCTGTGAAAGTAAAATGATGGTTAAATTTCAAGATCAATGTCTTTGAAAATTGCAAATAGTCTCTGAGTATTTTGTGGAGGTCTGGCCAGAATGTTGTACAAGATGTGCACCATTTCAGCTAACCAAGTTGGGATCGTCTTATGCAGCTGGTATCCAAAACAGGATTTGTAGTAGCGCTATCAGTATCATGACGTCATATCAACCAGGTAGAGTTGTTGTTGTGGGGCCCCATCTTCTTCCTGGAAATTTCAAATGTCACTTCAGGAAAAACTCATTGTTCATTGTGAAAAACTTAAACATTAATCATATAGACATATATAGACATACATATATATATTCAATGAAAGGCATGATAGATATATTTAATGAAAAGTATGATAGATATGAAGAAAAGCAAAGATGTTTTCTAAACTCATATTTCTTTCTGTCCCATATCACGGCTCTTGACATGAGACAGAAACTCCAGAAACTCTGGGTTTTTCTCTTACTAACAGGCTTGGAATTGGAGAGGGACTGAGCCAGAGTCCAACTTCAAAACCAGCTCTACATATTTATAAAGAAATGTTTAATAAGACATATATATATATATATATAAATTAATACTTACAAAATGTGTCCATCCATCAGTAATTAAATATTCAGGGTCCCTTAATTTCTTTGAAGATGAGTATTTTCCTGTGGAGATAAGAAAAGAACACTGCCTCCAACCTATCTGTATTTCTTACCATCAGTATGCTCGCCATCCTTATGAAAGAATTGTTATTTATCTTTTCCAAGTGGCTTCTCTTCTTCAAATCGAATCTTTATTAATTTTGACGGTATCCACAATTTTTCCTCACTTGTGGAGATAAGAGCAAAACCCCTTCCCCAACATAGCACATCTCCTGGCTTCCATTGTGAGGTCAGCACATCCTTGAAATAAACTGGTTGATGTAGTTCAGTAGACTTTTCCATAATCCAATGTCTTTCTGCAGCTGTTGTTCCCTTCTCATTAGCATTGAGAAAATTCAAGTTTAACAAAGCATTATGTAACCTATTTCTGGGGGTGTTTTCCACCCCTTTCTGTTTGTTCAACATATCCTTTATAGTTCGATTTGATCTTTCTATGACTGCTTGACCTGTAGGATTGTATGGTATACCTGTAACATGCTTGATATTGTAATAATCAAAAAACCATTTCATTTTCCTAGAAACATAAGCAGGACCATTATCCGTCTTTATTTGTGTAGGTATACCCATGATAGCCATGACTTCTAATAAATAAGTGATTACTGAATCAGCTTTTTCTGAACTTAAAGCAATTGCCCACTGAAAGCCTGAATAAGTGTCAATGGTGTGATGAACATATTTTAATTTGCCAAATTCTGCAAAGTGGAACACATCCATCTGCCAGATTTCATTCCTTTGGGTGTCCTTTGGATTAGCCCCTGCAGGCAGTGGCGTTTGGTTATAGAAAGAGCAAGTAGGGCATTTCTTTACA